TGATCTTCATTTAATCATTTATTGTCTGTGTACTTATATATATATATATATATATATATATATATATATATATATATATATATATATATATATATATATATATATATACATGCAGAGAGAGAGAGAGTCCATTGACACATAGTCGGTCATTTCAGGACAAACATACTGTTCAAATTTATGGGGTTTAATATCTACTCAACACAAACCAGGTCATTTTGGGACCAATATGGTTTCATTTTTTTCAATAATCTGCTTGCGCGTAGGGGTCTTTAGCAGTGGGAGGTAACCGGAGGACCCGGAGAAAACCCATACAACCAAGGAATCGAAACCACGCCAGTTGACTCAATGACAGACCTAATGATACAACGCGCATTTGGCCATTTAAAAGGGATCTTTTATGTGTATGCTGATGTATACACAGGACCTTGGTTTTTTGTCCCCTCCAAATGACTAGACAGCTCTCTTTGTCATACCCTCCGTCCTGCACCACTGACAAGGGGAAACCTAATAATAAGACAGTGGGGATCTTTTCAGTGGAGTGGAAGATATTGGTCCGAATTTGATCCATTGACAATCTGATTAAAATACAGATCTATATTTCGTTTCTTTTTTATACTTTCGATGGCCTACACTACATGAAGATCTGACCGGATGTAGCGATAGGTTGCGTCAGGTCATACGAGTGTCTTTTGACCCTATGACGTCAGGCATTTCATTAACCAATCAGCATTGATGGTACTAGTGGATTACCAACAGTTCTGTGCAAAACACGCCTAAAGTTCACCGTAACAGACCGTTTCATTGGCTAATCCCTCACACCATTCAGAACACGTCAATGATAACAACTCTTCCAGATCCTTGTAGTAAAGACAAGTAAAACGAAATTTTGAACTATAAAAACAAAACGAAATAGGATCTGTGTTTTAATCAGATTGATCCAGTGATAGATCAGTATCCATGATAAAGCTGCAGCTCAGATAATGAACTATAAAATAAACAACTTGAAAATAGCTTGACATTGATTATCTGCCATTGTAGTTTAACTTGAATCCTCGTTTATCTCGGAGTGCGAGACCTCCATCGAGGAAGCAAGATTCTCGTATTTTATATCTTGTTTTTGCTAGTTCTTTATTGAAAATGTCTGACAGAAAAATTGAATTACCTGAAAAAAGACATTATAAATATATCATCCAATATATCTCTTGTTCTGAGTTTTGTTTTCATCTGAAGTGAAGACTGTATCACTACAGTCCTGGGACAGGAAAGTACCAATACAAATCGTACTTGTTGAAGACATAAAATAAATTAATTTTTCTGGCATGAAAAAAAAAACACTTCATAACAATATGCGGTATACAGACAACTCATCCCAAAGACATCTCATCCCAATATAAGACAACGATGTCTGTGACAGGCACCTCATATCCAGGCATGATTATAACCCTAACAATATCTTGGCATATTGGAATACAGTACCTGACAACTCATAAAAAAGACAACTCATCCCAAGACATCTCATCCCAATATAAGACAACGATGTCTGTGACAGGCACCTCATATCCAGGCATGATTATAACCCTAACAATATCTTGCCATATTGGAATACGGTACCTGACAACTCATCCAAAAGACAACTCATCCCAAGACATCTCATCCCAATATAAGACAACTCATCCCAAGATAAAAGACAACTCATCCCAAGATAAAAGACAACTCATCCCAACTTTAAAACATGGGTCAAGATATAAGACAACTCATCCCAACAAATCTAGTTATATTTGTTTTAATAAAATTGCTGTCTATGAAGACCACTCAGATCATTCTGATTTTGTTATAAAAATGTTATAAAAATTGATATTGTTGTTTTACTAAAATGGATATTGTTGTTTTAAATTTTAAGTTGTTTTAGCTTTTGTTATAAAAATGTTATAAAAATTGATATTGTTGTTTTACTAAAATGGATATTGTTGTTTTAAATTTTAAGTTGTTTTAGCTTTTGGGCGCTCTGTATACTTATCATAGCGTACACATTTTAATTCCTTCTTTGAACCATACACGTGACTGAAAATTTTGGCCCCAGTCGTGCGGATTGTTTCCATATCATTGTCTGATAGAAATTTGTTAGAATATGACATATCCTTATCGTTATGTATAAGTTTCAGTATAGCTAATATCTTGGGATGAGTTGTCTTATATTGGGATGAGTTGTCTTTGGGATGAGTTGTCAGGTACCGTATTCCAATACGCCAAGATATTGTTAGGGTTATAATCATGCATGGATATGAGGTGCCTGTCACAGACATCGTCAGGCACCAAGTGACGTGGTTACGATTTCCCGCTTTTATGTGACAACTTCGTGGGTTTTCTCCGGGTCCTCTGGTTTCCTCCCACTTCTAAAGACCCCGGCGTGCAAGCAAATTATCCAAATAAAACTGAACTATTTGTTATTCAAAAAATGACCTAGTTATTGTTGAGTGGACGTTAAACCACATCTCTCTCGCTCTCCTCCTGAACTCCACACCAAACACCTTGATGACTAAAGTTTCAGTCTAATAATAGTACAAACGGTACATCCAAAAAGCAATCTGATTAAAACACAGATCCTATTTCGTTTTGTTTTTTATAGTTCAAAATTTCGTTTTACTTGTCTTTACTACACTAAGATCTGGAAGAGTTGTTATATAACCTGCATTCTGGTTGATGTGAGGGATTAGCCAATGAAGCGGTCTGTTATGGCGAGTTCTTGGCGTGCGCTGTACGGAACTGTGGGTAACCCACTAGAAACATCCAAGCTGATTGGTTAATCAATGTTTTGACATCATAGTGTTAAAAGTCATCTGTATGACCCCTGACATGACCTTCCACTACAACTGGTCAGATCTTCATCGAAAGTATAAGAAAATGAAATGATATATAGATCTGTATTTTAATCAGATTGACCAAAATGCAGAATGGGGTTTGGATGGCCGAATGGTTAGCATGTGCATGTTGTACTTGTATCATAAGGTCTGTCATTGAGTCAACTGGCATGGTTTCGATTCTCTGGTTGTACGTGACAAGGAGTAGTGTCGTCTGTTTCCTCCCACTGCTAAAGACCCCTACGCGCAATCGAATTATCGAAATAAAATTGAACCATATTTTACTCCTGAACTGACCTAGTTTGTGTCGAGTGGACATTAAACTCCATTTCTCTCCAAAAGGTAGATTATAAAAAATAGCAAGTTTAAACCATTAGTGAAATTAACAGAATATTTATGGTGGAATGAAATTTGTTTTTTGATCGATTATAACCGTCCATTCCTCTACAAACTAACCATTAAAACCGTATTAAGAACAATAATGAAATCATATATATTTGAATAGTAGATCACAAATATTACATTAATTGATAGACGATATTGATAAAATGATTAATTGCTATCCGATCTTTCATCTTTTGCTGATTCAGACCAAAAATAAATTTGTCCAAACAATAAGAAGAAATGAAACATTAATTACTATGATTATAAATGTACTCATAAATGCATCAATGCATGCCTGAAATCTTTAATTATTGATTCAGAATAAATTTGTCCAAACAAGAAAAAATAAAATATTAATTTCAGTGATTAATATGATTGTAGAAATGTGTGGTAAAAATAATATGCGATACATCTAGGCCTGGATGCTTGAAAACTTTTAATTAGTTGTTCAGTTTCATATGTTGTCGTACCTTATCATTAATCAGTTTTTACATACATGTACAAAGGGGTCTAAGTGGATAAGACACTGGCTCACTGGCCTGGAGGTCGGGTGTTTGATGCCTGCATTGGCCGAGAAAGGTCATCCAGATTTTCCGGCGTGGTTCCCCCTTGTCAGTGATGCAGGACCTGACAAGGACAGCTGTCTAGTCGTTCGGATGGGATGAAAAACCAAGGTCCCGTGTACACATTGGCATGCATGTAAAAGATCCCTTGGCAGTTGGAATTCAATATAAGAGTAGGCCATAGTGCCGCTGTTCGGGCAAAATTTCCCTCATAGCACACTGTATGGCACATGCCCGCCCTCAATAGCCCAATTTCAATTCAATTCAATTCACACGTGTACAAAAGAATGAAAATCTGACAGCCTTGAAGTCTCTGAGGGTCATCTGTAGTACTAGTATTCAGATTTCAGACAATATCTATCCATCTTCTTTGAGCGGCATTTAGCAATTGACACACATAATAAACACAAAACCATAATATGGACCACAATTACTATTTAAATTAAAGTGACGTTTCCCGTTTCGTTGAGGATTCTCTCTTGCTTGAAAACATTAGAGAACCCTCAACAAAATGTTTCTTTAATTTAAAAGTTATTGTCTTCCATATTATGTTTTTGTGTTTAATATCTATCTAATGATCTTTTGGGGCATTTAGTAACTGGATAGAGCAATAAAGTATAACACATACTTATGGAAGAACAATTACTGATTTATTTGGGCGACGTTTCGAAGAGTATTCTCTCAACGTTTTCAAGCAAGTACAAATAAATCAGTAATTGTTCTTCCATAAGTATGTGTTATACTTTAATATCTATCTACTTTATAATATTATAATATCTCATACTTCAAAAATTTGTAGGCCTACTATTTTAATATGTAATTCAGCAGGGGGTTGGGTAGCCAAAGGGTTAACACATGCACGTTGCATCATCAGGTCTGTCATTGAGTCAACTGGCATTGTTTTGATTCCCCGCTTGTACATGACAAGGAGTTGCCTATTAACCTACGTCAATGTACCTCCTTATCGTCATTCAAGAAACTTTTAAAAACTCATTTGTTTCTTATAAGTTATAACTGAAAGCTAAAGACGCTTTATGTAGTATGTATTGTCAAGTGCTATAAGCACAATTTTGTAGAGTTTTGGCCCTGTAAAAATGGACATTTATTTTTATAAAAATAAGAGCAGCAGATATAAATTCTGGGACCATTTACATGGAATATATTTAATAATTTCTTTGTTCTTTCCCTTTTTCAGTATCCACATTTTTTCAAGCGAGACGTCAACAAATTACAGATTATGTTACAGCGACGTAAAAAGTATAAAAACAGAACAATATTGGGATTTAAAACTTTGGCCTTGGGACAGGTGAACATGTCACAGGTAAGAGATAATACATTGTTAAGCCTGATTTTATTTCAGGATTATGAGATGTGCTCAATTCTCTATTTTCTCAACGAGGCTGAATGGCTGAATTGTTTAATGTGCGTCCGTTTGATCATAAGGTCTGTCATTGAGTCAAGTGGCGTTGATTTGATTTCCCGCTTGTATGTGACAAGAAATAGGCATCCTCCCACAGCTAAAGACCCCTATGCACAAGTGAATTTTTAAAATAAAATAGAGCCATGTTTGTCCCAAAATGACCTAGTTTGTGTCGAGTGTATGTTAAACCCCATTTCTCACATAGAAGCTGGGATTCAAAACCACGCCACCTGACTCAATGACAGACCTTATGATGCAACGCGCACACGTTAACCATTTGGCCACCCCCCCCCCCCTTGTTACTTGAAGGGGGGGTTGGATGGCTGAATGGTTAGTGTGTGCACGCTGTATCATAAAGTCTGTCATTGAGTCAACTGGTGTGGTTTCGAATCCCCGCTTCTACGTGACAAGGAGTAGGGTCGCCTGTCAAACCTCGTGGGTTTTCTCTGGGTCCTCCGGTTTCCTCCCACTGCTAAAGACCCCTACGCGCAAGTGAATTATTGAAATAAAATTATACCATATGTTAGTCCCGAAATGACCTAGTTTGTGTCGAGTGTTACTTGAAGTTGACTAAACAAGTTTAATGACTCATACAAATTGTAAAGTACAGTAGGTCTACATATTATATCATGACTATTTGATAAACAATACAACAACTAACATTCATTTAGTCATAATCAACAACTTAACAAAACAATCCATTTACACTTTCTAATGGTACATTATTAACAAAGGACAAAAAATGGATAAATGATGTTATTAATATAAAAAAAATGCATGTTTTCAGGTAGGGATTTTGGTTGAATGAATAACAAATATTAATAAATAGACTGTTCAGAAAAACTATTCATCTATGTCCATAGATAAAACAAATAACAATTCATGAAAACTCTTCATACATGTAATGTAGATAAAACAACAGTGCATCTGAATTGGTCAAATGTATGAATTTACAAGCGTTCTTATGATCTTACTAGTGTTCACATGATCTTAGTAGCATTCTCCTGATCTTACTAGCATGCTCATGATCTTACTAATGTTCTCATGATCTTACTAGTGATCACATGATCTTACTAGTGGTCCTACTAGTGATCTTACTAGTGTTCTCATGATCTTACTAGTGTTCTTCGTTAGGATATGTGTGAGCAAGTATTTAGTAGCCTATTGTATAGCAGAAATTGAAAGCTCACAGTATATGTTTTGAGCAGGAAGATATTTAATATAATTATTGTATCCAGTTTACTGTGTATACATGTACATGTACCGCATGATATTGTGTAGTATACAAAATAAATCATTGTTTATACTCTATCTATGCATGTTTAGGCCATTACATGTATCAACATAGTATTATATAGACCTGGTTAATTTCATTAATGATAGAACTGATGCACTGATGATGTGATGAATATTTTATTACAGATCTAAGGCCAAAACAGTTTATTTGATTCCTCGTAGCTACTCACGTCTTGTGAATGATGTTTCATTTAAAACTTCAAGACTTCAAAAATTTGGAACCAAAAGCTAAATATACATCCACATAATAAACAGAATACAAAATCAACAAAAACTTCATTTTATCCAATGTTCCGTCAGTATAAATACTAATTTCTTCAGGAATGAAAAATTAGATACAGTACAAAAACATAAAATATTGTATTTAATTCTTCATCCCTGAAGAAGTTAGTATTTTTACTCACAAAACGTTGGATAAAACGATGTTTTTTTTGTTAATATTTTGTTCTATTTATTATTGTATATAAATTTTTAAAAATATCAAATGCATCATTTTGACTTAGTTAAAATTGATTCCATTAAACCGCTTGTAATTGTTTTGTGTTATGCATGTATGTTTCTATTTATGGAAGGTTTCTCACATTTGCATGTGGACATATTACGTCGTTGCCAGGGTCCATTCATATTTGTTAGTGGACACTCTTAGAAGTCAAAACTTTTTATCTGATTTTGATGAAAATATACTTTTTTATATCCCAAAGATCTCAGATGCCTTCGATTTTGGCATATGCTGTATCGATCCATAACATTCTAGATTATTCCCCATGCTTATACATTTAAGAAAATAACCGGCGTAGCTTGTGGACCCTCTACTAGGAGCATGTTAAATTAGTTTTTTCTGGCAAGCTAAGACCAAAAATTAAACTTGGTGTGGCCTAAGATAGAGATTCTATACAAGTATTAAGATAATATAAGATGAACATATGTCCACATGGTATTTAGAACATGTTAAATAATAGGTTAGTGGTATTTACATGATATTTATTCAAATGGTTATATATAGATCAAAGGGATTAGAACACGATGTACATAGCCACTTGCTTTGATTAAACATACATTCATACAAATGAACCAACGATTTTAAAGTTCCTTGAGCATGGTTTTCCCTTGTCAGTTGTGAAGGATGGAGGGTCTGACAAGAAACGAGAGAAACGGTTGTATGTGACAAGGAGTAGGGTCACCTGTCCAACTTCGTGGGTTTTCTCTGGGTAATCTGGTTTCTTTCCACTGCTTAAGACCCCCTATGCGCAAGCAAATTATTGAAATAAAATTGAACGATGTGTTAGTTCCGAAATGACTTAGTTTGTGTCATGGATGTCTCTCTCTCTATGATAATTGAAATCTTCTAGTAAAGTTTTGGAATAAAATAGATACATGATTTTTTTTTATGTCTGAAAGTTATTCAGTGTACATGAGGATGGTATGTACGTATGTTATTACCACCTGGTAAAAAATCTCTGATAAAATTTGGTCTCAACTACCGTAAATGTATACATGCATCAAATTATTCACATTATCTGGAGGTATGTTGATGCACCAGATTCTATCTGAATTCATTAACAGGATATTTGGCATTGCTGAAATATTATTTTAAATTCTGATTCCCAATTTTAGATTCAGCAGTCACAGATAAGGTACATGTAGATAGATGTTTTGGGGTTTTGTTTTGTCGACTAAGTTCAATGTTTCATATTTCTGTAATGTTATTTCTGGCATAACAATCCTTGGTATGGAGATGGAAACATGCTAAAGAAAATTTATGCTCTTTCATTGCCTATACAACCTTGTGAGTTTTCTCCAGGGTCCCCCCGGTTTCATCCCACTGCTAATGACCAGTACATGCAAGTGAATTATTAAAATTAAATTGAACCATATGTTAGTCCCAAAATGACCTGGTTTGTGTTGAATGGATGTTAAACCCCATTCTCTCTCTCTCTCTTTCTCTCTCTCTTTCTCTCTCTCTCTCTCTCTCCCTCTCCTGAATTCTTGCAGGGATGCTTTAGTTGAGTGACAAAATGCTTGTCTTCTGTTTCCAAGTGATAAGCATGGGGAATTCAATAAAACAGCACTCAAATCTTGATCCGTTTTCCTTCAGAATTGATGGAATTTGTCTGGTATCTTGGTCCAAGTATCTCATGTCTTTTATAATCTTCTTGAAGAACATTGTTAGGATGCCATGACCGAAGACACCATTAATTGTCATATATTGTGTTTATAATACGGCTAGAACTAGAATCAGGAATAAATAACCTGCTCTTAATGAATGTTGCATGTTGTATTTTCCCAGCAAATGGTTTTTTATTGTTTGTAATTATTGATATATGTACAAAAAAAAAATATGCAACTGGTATTTTCACCAGTTGGAGTACTGGAATCTTAATGTAGGCGTAAAAGAATTTGTATAGGAGTAGAAGAAGTGTTGTGAGAATTCATGGCAGCGTTTGAATTTGTATAGAAGAACTGCTGTGAAAGTTTATGGCAACATTTGAAATTGATTAGAAGACATTTTATCGCTTTTCCTTTTTGCTCCTGTCTATTTCATCAATTCCAAAAAAATTTGTGCGATAAGAAAATTAAATTTTTAAAATTTTAAATGTTTTCTGAGATTCTTGAAATATGTAACAATAAAAATATACAGAAGTGAAAAAACACAAACATTTTCATAATTGATTTTATGCTCTAAATTTGTGCGATAAGAAAATTAAATTTTTAAACATGCATTATGCAAGAGCAAAATCTGCTTATTACAAGTCTTTCTTTAGGCCTGAAATGTTATCTCAATTATCAATTAGACATTAATTAACTAATCCAGACCACAATCAACTCTAGATGGCCTCGCTAGCCTGTGATCTTAAGTGGATTGTGAGCTGATTTACTGCATAACTTTTCTTCTCGATTAAACGATTAAATAGATAATCGAGACTATGCTGTTTATCGTACTGACTTCAGTAATGATGACCGAGGCTAGGCAGAAATTTCATTCGCTTAGTTTTTGGTTCATAGTGGATCAATTTGAATGAAATTTTCAGCAAATTGCCTTTATATTATCTAGTTTTTAACTATTATAGTGAGAACTGCCAACTCGTTATCGAATCTCCCATAATGTATCTTTAAAATTTTAAATGTTTTCTGAGATTCTTGAAATATGTAACGATAACTGAATGAAAATATAAAAAAGTGAAAAAACACAAACGTTTGCATAATTGATTTTATACTCTATCTTAAATGTTTTATTTGTTTTTCTTTACAAAAAAAAAAAAAACCCACAAAATTTTGGGAAATTTTTACTCTCTGCACACCAGGATTGACGCCATTACATTTAACATAATGCATCAATACATTTAAGTCTAAAAGGAGGTAATCACTGAGCAGCGTCCGATATTTTTAAATTTTTTTTATAGAGTACTTCTGTAAGAAAAGTTATAACATTGTATGTGTTTAGACAAGTACATGTATATGCAGGCCTGGAAATGATAATTTTAGCTGTACCCAGAGGTAGTTCCTCAAGTTCCGCTACTAGAAATCTAGCCTGACTTCAGTCACATCAAAGATCTGACTTTTGCGAATCAATTTGAAATATTTATCGTGACTCCTCTGGCTGTACC